GGCTCCTTTTGACAGTTCTGTTCTCTTTAGCTTAAGATATGACCAACATACAAACATTACAACCTTCAACTTCAAACGATATAATGGAAGGAAAAACAACAAATGTTACTTATCGTTCCGTTCCCTGTCGAATTCCTGGGCACGATTAATGTTCATTCGTCAATCTGCAGTCTCCCTTCACCAGCTAAATGAGACGGTTACAAAGGAACATGAGCATACGAAGTGAGATGAGCACTCAGCCAAGGAAAAATAAACTTCACAATAAGTTGCAACTGCGCTCTTATGCAGTTTCTGCAGAGTAAGTCATATTAGATTGTAAAACTCGGACAAACACCAGAGCCTTTCACACGTTACCTTCTCTCCAATCGCGGCTGCAGCAATGCCCACATTGTAACCAATCACAAGGCCCCAAGTCTTGAAATTAACCAATCAGATAGCGTGTTTACGCGGTTGTCACAGAGTGGCGGGAACAAGAAGCGCGAAAACAACGCAAGCCACTTACCAACACCACAGCTTTCACTCGCTCCAAAAAGTTATAAATAGACCTAAATAAGTCGATAAATAGACAGATAAAGAACTTCTTCGCCGCTACGTTTTGAGTGGTTGATAGTTTGAACTTAAGGCTACGGCAAACCGCAAAATCAACTCCGTTTTCACACGATCTTCATAACTGTAACAACCTCCCATTCAAAGTTAATACCCACACTTTTGCTGAGAGCGGACGGTTAGCAATTCAAATTCGGGGGTTTACCAAAAAAATTGAACTTAGGTTTGCAGAAATATGCTACCTTTGCCCTAATTTCTTGTATTGCAGAAGATGACATCAGATCTTTTATCTCAAATAACCAAACCAACTCAATTCAAAATTCCAATATATGTTTATTTCCAACTTAATTTTTTCTTTTCAAGGGACATTTTTATGGCGCAAAATTAAATCAACAAAAATATAGACAGTAAATTTCGTCTTAGCCTTCAACAAAATAAATTTTGTCTAAAAATTTAATCTACATGCCCTTCCTGCTGTTTAAAATTTAAAAAAAAATGTAGGTTATGACTGAATACTATCATCGCATTTTAACAAGGCCTAGTTTCAATTAGACTCTTTCTGACAAACTGTTATTTTTTCTCGCATTAAAATAAAAATAGGTAAAATATCACAATGTATCAACTACTATACACAATAACAGGTTGTTATTTATTTTAAATAGACAACATTAAATGCATTAATAACTTGATAATTCCTCTAAAAGATGACATGCATTGTTGCCAATGCTATGGCATATGAAAAACATTCAAATGAATGTCCTTACGGGGCGTAGAGGGGGATACCATCGGGTACAACGAAATACCTTACTAATTAAATTTAACAAATGAGCATGTACAAATTGTCATGATAGTTTCTTTTAAAATAAGGTAATTTCAGATTTTTGTACATAAATTTTAACATAATCAACTAAGCAACACAAAGTACACACAAATGTTTTGCTGCTTTTATGTGTTTTGAGGGTGAGAGAAGTCCTGACCCATGCAACTATTGATCTATCATAGTCCACACTTCTCTCAGCCTCCCAAGAATATTTTGTTTTTCAACTAGAATACAGGTAATCATAATTCCCTACAGACAGTGGAAAATTACTGGGGTACTAGTATCAATGAAAAAAAGGAGGAGATATATTACATTAACACTTAGCTTGCAAGTAAGTTTAAACAATGATTTGTAATCTGCATTCTGATTACAGAGTTCTTTCCTAAATGTGGGTTTCAGGTGCCTCGATGGTACAAAATAATGCAAAAAATTTTAATCATTGGAGAGCTGGCTTGTTATATATGTAATGAATTCAAATTAAATAACATAACTTCTTTTGTACATCTGAGTCAACAAGGGCTGATTGTGCTTGTACTCTGACTTAATAGGACTATCTATCACTTTTTTCAAATAGAAAAATGGCTTTTCTTTGTGGAGTAATGACGTCAGAATGGCCCAACAACATTCTGAGAAAGCTGAACTCTTGAAGTTTCCCCTTTGTGTTATTAACAGTTCCTTTAAATTGAAAATCTACATGGAAGGAGAGAATGCTTGCTACCTTGAAAAGAGAGCAAAATTAAAAGAAAATCATTTTTTCTGATGCATCTCAGCTGGCTAGAACCCTTAATATTTGAATCTGATTGGTTCACTACATGCTCATAACTGGTCCAGCTCCTTACAATACAGACCATGGTCCAGAATTTTATCTGCTCCAGCAACAGCAAATTGAAATTGTTGCAGAAAGAAAGAAAATCATCAGAAGCAAATCAATAAGTTATTTATCAGTAGAGTCCCTTGGTCTTAAATATGATAAAGGGCCTTCAACCTCAGCCATACTCAGGACCTCTAGCACAATTTTTTCCAGACAAACCTCCCACTTGGTAAATAAAATATCAATGATAATAACTTTTTAAGTCATGACACTGTCCTCACTTTGAAAGGTCAAGTTACTAGTTAGAAACTCAGAATCCAGTTGGATGTAAATTTTGATGGATACATTTACATGACTGAGATAAAATAAGGTTCCCTGACATACACTTCTCCAATAAATAAGCAGCCTAAGCTAAGTGGTCCCTTCTCCCCACCTACCCCACCATGACCATCGTAGCATTTAACAAAACAGAAAAATTGTTGAAAATAAGGGCAGCCAGATTAACCCACATATATTGGTCAAGAAAAAGCTCCACAACAGACCTCTTTCAAGAATTTCATGTTTGAAAACAACAGCCAGAGTTTTCAGTCAAAGTGAGGCAAATGCAAACTAATTTACATGCACATAACTAAGGAAATACTTATCATGTCCACTATCATGACAGGTCTACGTTGCTACATTTCATGGCACTATGTCCTGTTGTCACAAGTATTAAATATGATCTACATACACCCACAACATTCTCTTTAGTAGGTCTACTGAGTTTCTCAGATGTTACATTGATACACAATTAAATTATATCGAAAGAAAACCCCCTATCCTTGATCTACCCATTGAATCAAGCTGAGTCTACTAACTTCAGTAACAAATTAAAGTCACTTCAAAAATATTATTTATCTTCAAGACAGAATAATTGATATTCTTGTTTGGAGAATTAATATTTGCGAAAGTATTATATGCAAATAGACATCCTGCATAATGTAAGTGCCGCTCACTTTGAAGGTCAAGTAAATGAGTGAATGGTTTGCCTTGAACTTAATGATGCCAGTGTCTCTTGGGTAACTTAGTATCATCAACTGAGTTGATAATGTAAAATTGGCCACTTTAAAGAATTAAAAGCTGATGTTTCAAGCATTAGCCCTTCCATCTCTCTAATGAAAGGCTAATGCTTGAAATATCAGCTTTTAAACTCTATTGTAGTGGCAAATTTATGTTATCAACTCACTTGATAATACTAAATTACCTTGTTATACTCTCCCACTGACACAGCACCACAGTTTCTTTAGAAAGTTACCCCCTTTATTCCTTTGAATTAGCAACTCGCTTTGTCCTTCATTAGAAACAAAGTCTTCTTCATTGACATAGATGATTTGCAAGCACTTTAAATAAATAAATAAATTTTATCATTCAACATAAAATAAACTTCAAAAGAACTAAAGCCATAGCCATATGTGGAATTTAAAAGAATGTAATCTACTACAGCCTTCCTTGAGATTTTTTCCAATCAATGCAAATTTATTGCATTTTTGAAGTTTCTTGTGTCATTCTAAACAGCCTGTGACCAAGGGAGCTTAATCACAGGCTTAAGGTGATTCCTCAGTATTACACTGTGCATCCTGTAATACTCATAAAAATCACATAATCAGGCAAATAAGCTTGCCTGCATTCCAAGAACATGGTATTGTTTTTCAATCAATGGTTCAAGTAAAAAGGTGCAATGTCCTTTAGCTATTAAATGAACATGGTGACCTAAATTTTTTATTGCATAATTTTGGTGTACAAATTATCCCCTTCAAATTGGAGGAATTAAAAAAAATTAATTGAAGGGAAAACAAGACATAGCTAAAATCCTGTGTGAAGCACATTACTTGACGACACAAACTTTTTGTAAGCTTGAAAGCCATGACTCGAAGAATGTTTTGAATCAATGTTGTTTGTGATTGTGTGATTTTTTCATGCGCTCAAGACCTTCTATCTATCAAGTTTTTTTAATTGTTACTTTAGAAACCCTCGCTTCCGGCTACTGCAAAATTTACCATGAACAGATAAAATAATGTGCATGATAGATGCCAGTACAGGCATAAATGGGGTGAGTTTGGCCTGTTATATCTCTTTCAAAACAGACATTGGATAGGAACACTTAAGGAAAGTTAAAAAAAAAAGGTTTGTTAGATAACTTTTTTCCTGAGCAGTCACCTTGATTAATTGGTTATTGTTATATATTCTACTTTCTGCCAATTTGATCAATAACTTGTATGAGGTGAAATTGCCTTAACTTACATGACCCAGTCCCTTAACCCTATAACTTCCAGAAGTGATTAACATGTAACTTCTCCCTATAATATCCATACATTATCCAGCAAACAGGTAATGAGAATACCCAAATCATCGGGTAGAAGTTGTTACCTTGATCTAACACCGAATTCATGTAACCAATAAACAGGGATAAGTGTTGCATAGAGGGGAGAATTAACATTCAAATCTTGGGAATTAAAGGGTTAACAATTACACATCCACAAGTGACCAATATGCAATTTCCTTTTACAAAATCAATGCACCTTCAATCTTCAAGGTCATACACAGGATGAAATCACATGTTTCCGTATTTCTGAAACGTGGCGAAAACATGCAACTCCATGTTTCTGTTATGTTTAACATGCACAAAAAGTGGTCCGGTTCCATTGTATACACAGCAACAGAAACGCGAGAAAACATCACGAAACCAGTAACGGAAACACAGGTTATCTGTCGTGTTTCCAGAACGGTTTAACATGTTTCTGCCACGTTTCCGTTTACAGATTCTTGCAATTTTGTCCTGTGATAACAAGAAAGCAATTTCAACTAAGGAAAAGTACTGTTTGATTTCACACGATACTCTGGGAGCCATAGCTCAAAAGCTTCTAAGAAATGTATGATATACAGTTCAGAAAATTGACATGAAGCACCTAGGAGTGAAATGTTAAATAAATCAAACTTGCCAGGTCTGAAATTCAACTTTACTTGAATAGAAGCAACCAGAGCTAGCACCATTTGCATGTCAGCCAAGGATTGACCATGACTCTGACCACTGCTCACCAGGATCTGATGCATAATACATGTCTTAAGACGCCTCACTTTGTCTTGGTATCCGTTGACTTCTGCATCAGCTGTAAAAATATTTCATCTGTTCCCCCAAAACAGGAAAGTGTTAAATATACAATTCCAATAATTAAAACATACCATCTCACCATTGCAGACATGTACAGAAGAACTGACAAACAGATTGTGAACAGAAGCCAGAAGATGAGCCCTTTTTTAAACAGATAACTCACAGCTAACTGGATCTCATTCTGTTGTTCACTTGCTATTTCAGAAGGAGGGCCAAAATATTTCTCCTTGGTGTAAAATTTTTTCAGTCTATCCTCTTTCTGCATCCATTGCTTACAGCACCATTCTTCCAGACCTTGTGTATCTTGTGGAAGTGCATCATTGGTATATCGCTGAATGTGAAAATGAATTTCACTTGGTACATTTCCTTTCAGTAGATCAACTTCTTCAAAACAGTAATTTTCAGAATAACCAACGGTGACATCAAGAATAGCATCTAGATTCCCCTGACGAAGTTTCTCAACACAGTACGTGAAGCCACGTACACGTGGATGTAGAACATAGTCATAAAAGGGAAGATTATTTTTTTTTGCAAAGGAATCACTCTTCTGTTTGCTAGCCTCCTCAAAGTTGGTACCCTCAGGAAACAAGAGTAGCTGAAGACTATCTGATGAATTGACAAAGTAACTGAGAACTGAATTAAGGTAGCTTTCATCTCTCTCCCAACGGCGGTGCAAGAAAATGTAAAGGGCATTCTGCATGGCCCAACCTGAAAATAAGCACAAAATTCTTTAAAACAATACCTGGCAATTCTACTATACACCAGAATTTACCAATTTAGAAAAAAATGAAGTGTCTCCTCAGCTGTTTGACTTTATAATCACCTTTCCTGAAATCAATTTACTGAATATAACTCAGCAACTTAGCGATATAAGTAACATTAACATTGTCGCTTAAAGAGTACTTTCTAAACCGAAGAAGAATTATAAAATGTCTGCTTGAAAAATCTTGTTTATACACTTTTTTGATAATGAACAGAAAATGTCAAGGACTGAATTTTTCTCAGACTTCTTTTTTCTTTTTCAATCTACACTTTCTCTCCCAAGATAATTTACCCTACTGTCTGTAATAAAATTCTTATAATGCTAGTTTGGAGAATTTGGTATTGAATCAACAAATTATCTCCTAGTTGATATACGTCTTTTATAATTCTCATGACCTTTCTGCTTGATATTATATTGATATTGTGAGGAGAAATTATGTCTTGGTCACCCATGGGAGCTTAAGGGTCAATAGCCCAAGTATAAATCATAAGATGTTACCTGAACCTTAACCCTTCAACTCCCAAGATCTCATTAGTAAGTCTCCTTACTATCTACCATATAGATCTTCTGATGTTAGTTTGGAGAATTTGGTATTGGATCAACTAATAATCCCATAAATAAGATTTTTTGTTCTTCTCATGACTTGTCTGCTTGATATTGTATGGAGAAATTCTATCTTAGTCAATCATGGGAGTTGAAGGGTTAAAGAACAAATGCCAGCCACACTGCTCACAAGCAGAAATGTCAGCTATATGGTAAATCACATAATAGTACATAAAGATTCCTTTACTGACAGCCAAATTTCTATTCAATGCAACCATTTCATAATTTAAGGTCCCTAATGGCAACTTTGTTAAAAAAAAAAAAAAGTTGATCTTGAAACCAAAATTTATAGCAAAATGATGAAAATACTTACCTGGACCAGGAATATGTTTGAGTTCACGTTTCATTATTATCTTCTCGTGCTTCAACTCGCCATATCGTGCCACAAAACTCCAAAAGAACATCCAATCAAGTCGGCATCTGTGGTTCATGATGATAACAGAGTTCTCACTCTTTGGAGGCTTGTCCCCAGTGACTACAATCTTGACTCCAAACATCATCTCTGTGCATTGAGAGAGGAAAATAATTATCAGTGATTTAACTCAAATTTCTTCTTCTAAAATTCAAACCAGGTCAAGTATAGCTATACGTAAGTTGATATCATCACAAAGAACATCCATTAATGGAAAATTTATTTTCATTTTAAGTTCCATGATCTTTTGGCTTTTACATAAAAGAAGGTATACTATATCTTCATCAGTGGCAAGGAGACATAAATTGATCCTGGGAAAACTAACAAGAATCTTGGACAGCACATTCCCAAATGTTTATTTTCTTGTTATATTAGTTAGGGAAAATTTTGTGTTCAACCTGTTTTTGACAGTGAATAAAAAACATGTCTTAGAGCAAAAAAAGAGTGCTAGAAACATTAACCTTTCCTGATCACAAAACATATTCAGGTTTGAAACTAATTCAGTTGTCTAACAAAGCTGGCTGCCAAGCAACTACAAAAAATTATTTAGAGCAACACTAAATCGTGAAAAAAAAATGAAAATAACTAGTTCATTAATATGACTACAACATTCAGAGTACAAATTGGAACTTGCATGTTTCACAGTTCACTACTTTGTTTTGTATTGCAGCTGTAAAACAAAACCAAGCACACCTTTCTCAAGCAAAAAAAGCATTGTGAGTTAAGTTAAAAACAGGGCAAAAGAAGGGCTGATAATATAATCCCTCTATAAAATAATCAATGTCATGATTAAAAAAAAATCTGATCATCCAATTTCAGGTCACAAAACATGGAACCAAAAAAATTGCAAGAAGTTTCAGAGCCTCATGTCAAATTGGGTATAGTTGCCATACTTCAAGAAGTACTATTAATTCTTAAGCCAAAACGCCTTTCCAGTGGTACTTAGTTCATCTTCATAGGGTGTTGACTGACTTTACAGCATTTACTAACCAGTAAACAAAGAGCAAATTATTATTTCTGCCAGTTTTGGTTTTAGACTGTAACAAGTTTTGATAAGTCATCATGTTGTGGCATTTGGCAATTGGCAATTGTTTCCTGATGACATAACAGTATGTACTAAATGGTCCAAATTCAGTCTTTTAAAAGCCAGCGTTAGGAAATATACCCAAGCATGGAAATCTAAGTACTGCAGTTTTGTTTTCCCACAGACACTAAGTGATGTCTCATTCCCTGAATTTTAAAAATTAAGTAATTGGGCAATCTCCTCATGATACTACCCTTGACTTACGTTACTTTCTGAAATTCTCACATGAACATATAGAGATGCAACACTAGATGAAAAGATGTCCGCATAACCTCGTCAGAATCCGTCCCAATTTCACAATTTTTTTTTTTGCTATCAAATAACTGTATACATAGCGAAGTATGTGGTTAGATAGAAATCTTACCTATTTTTATTACATGCTTATCAATATCATTGTTTTCTTTAGTAACTTGATCATCTCATGAAATAACGCAAAGGACGCCACCCCCTCACAAAAGTACAACAATAATGTAAATAAACCGTGTTGTCATGAATTATTTAATGTAACCATGAGACATTCAATAATGATACTTGTTTCTAGTGATATCTAGACAGGAATATCTCTCTGAAACCATTATAAGCTGAATCAACCCTGGTAATCGAGCGGAAACACTCACCCAGAAGGGCCTTTTGACGCACAAACACGACGTTGAAGGTGGAAGTAAGTTGAGGAGGGTTGCGATCCGAAAGAAAAAACAGCAAATCCGTTATTCATAAAAAAAGAGACAAAAAATTTTTCAGATTAGCAAAAACTGAATAAAAAAAAAACGCTCATGAGCTGTAGTAATTTAAAAACTGCTTTCCAATATTCCTCACCGGCGGTAAGATCAGCCATAACGAACACAATCGATCATTTGCCCATCGAAACCACTGCGGCCGCAGCCATAACAGCGGAATTGTCGGCCCCATGAGAAACAGAGAGCCGAAAAATGAACAAAAAAAAAGAGCCAAATTGTAGATTAAACCTCCAAAGAAGTTTCTCAGCATTTTGAAAATCCTAAACACTGTTAGTACAATTAGGGAAAGCGAAGAAAGTATTGATGCGAGAAAGCGTGACACGAGCAAGTATAAGCGTGCGGCGACACAGACTGCAGCTGGATTGTGAGGTGTGCGGGCTCTAATGAAAGGCTCGCAGTGGATTGTGGGTTGCTAAGGAAGCATGAAGGATACATTTTTGTTGATGTCTATTACCGGTGTTATTTTTTCACAGTATTATGCATTTTTTGTTTGATTGTTCGTTTTTTTTACTTTTTTTCTTCTGGAATACCGATGGAAGCCTCTCTGAACAAATATTATCATCATCTACGTTTATTAAGTTGGTAAAATCTGTACAGACATCACACCAACTATTATTATACAAAAATATAAATATATATAATACTTAGATAAAATTAATAAAGAAATTCGGATAGTAATTTTATAACTGTATAATATATATTATGAGAATATAAAATAATAATGCCTAGTGATTGTTAACTAAATAGGGGAGTAGCTTGGAGTAAAAAACAGCCAAGGAGTTTGACTCAACTGTTTCCGCGGGTAGATTATTCCATAATCTTATGGTCCTTGAGAAAAAGGAACAAAAATAAATGTTCTTTGTCGCCATATCTTGCCTATATTTATAACGATGACTCCCTCGAGTTCTAACTTCATATTGGGGTTGTAATTAGTTATTTACATCAATATCAATTTGTCCACTGCTCATTTTATATAAAAGGTTTAGACGAGTCAGTTCTTCTTGATTCTAAGCTCGCTCAACCTTGATCTTGAAGCATTTCAGTAACGCTAGCTGTTGGATGATAGTTGTTGAAGCAGAGCCGAACCCCTTTTCTTTTCTCTGTCCCATTTCAATGTTCAAAATAGACGAACACCGATAAGAGTTAATCTTCTTTATTTGCGAACAACAACAAAACTCGAATAATAACTCTCTGCTCAAAGGCACGTGTTTACCATCATTGGGAATTGCGAACCCCCCCCCCCCCCTCTTAGACCTAAATGTAGCGCAATAACTCGAGTATAGTGTCTAGAACTTAATAATCAAGCAACAACTAAGGAATGTTGGGGGTCACCACACCATGGTATCTATACATTAGATACCAGTTTAGTTGTGCAATTCCCTGTTCAAGAGCTTCCTTTCCATCTAACATGATGATTTCAACAGTGTAGCTTCATTTCTTCCCTATACTTTGTACAACACTGCATTACTGGGAACCTCTCTCTCTCGATCTCTCTCTCGATCACTCTCGAAGGCGATCTGTCCGTTTAACTCGAGGTTATCCGTCCGTTTTATTCAGTATATTATTTCAAACCATTCTTTGTAGAAGAATCAGTCTCATGAGGCTGATTAGCAAACGAATCTTTTATTCCCTTAGACTGACTGGCTTCTAATTTCTCCTTTCAATATCACCCTTGAAATAATTATAAATAATAAATAATAATAATAAATAATTATAAAGATCACGAGAATAAAGGAAATGATCACCAATCGAAGAAGCTCCTGAAGCACCATGGGAAATGTAAAGATAACAGAGAATATTAATAAACGGTTGATAATATATGGAAAATTACTGCGAGGATCACTTTCATTCACGTCTTTATCCGCAGTTCAAATATATGACTTTCATATATTCTCAACCGTTTATTTCATCACTTCACGGGTTTATTTAGAGCTCCCAGTTAGCTTGTTAGCTCAATTGGTAGAGCGCTGCACCGGTATCGCAGAGGTCATGGGTTCAAATCCCGTACAGGCCTGAATTTTTTTTCAGGCCTTATTTTCACTACTGCCTAAGTAGTGCACATTACTGCGAGGATCACTTTCATTCACTTCAAGAGAATATTGATGTTAGCGTAACGAAGAGAAAAGTCGGAAAGATGTTCGGGGGGCTGCAACCTGTATTCAGATCTTGGTCTTAACACTACACGCAGGCCGAGGCCCCGAGCATTTGGTGGGTTCTTGTTCCTGCTTCGAGGTTATTTTTCACTGCGGAACAGCAGGAAAAGTTGACTTTCCCAGTTCCGCTTCGACGCACAACAAATAGCCGTCTCGAGATCTTTCTGTTCGTAAACAATTTACAGACAAAGGAGATCGGGAGGGTGGCAATATGTTAATACCTGGCACGTGATTAAGCCCAAAATTAAACGCTGTACGAGGCGCGTGAATTTACATAAAAGTGAGGAGATCCCAGGTTATCCTTAAGCGTAAATGAATGTTTAATGTACACGTGACGCGTTTTTTTTTCGATTTTGTGCGTGAAATTGGATTAGAACCATTTCTCCCGCCCGCTTGAATTTTATAATTGGACTTTGGGCATGAGGATCGTGACACTCCTGTTTTAATTATTACACAACAACCTCTTCTTCCCACGCCCGGAACACTGAGCTAAAAATTGCACTTATATAACCACAAAAAAAATTAAACAGGTCTCAGTTGACTTCCTTGGTCACGCAAGTGTCTCACAATTACCCAAGGTCGCCATTCTTATGATATTTTAGGGTACGAATTGTCCTACAGAAATGCGTTGTATAATTTTTTACATTTTAATCAAGGGCGCAAAATAATCGTGAATGATGTTATAAGATTCAGAGAGCCAGAGCATGCAAATTGACCCAACAGATCGCAAACTTTTATCAAAATAAACGACTCTAAACAATAGTTTGACTCATTTCGTTTGCATGGCTTTCTTTGCTCGTTGAAGTTGCTACATTGTTCTTACTTCTAGGTTTGTGATGGCATTTTGAAAAACCTCTTATTAAAAAAAAAGAAGAGGTTTATTGATCGTGCATAAATATTATTACCAGCCTAGACGCGAGTTTTCCTTACTAGCGTTTATTGTCCAAAAAATATAATATTTTTCGTTCCTTCCCAACCATACTTTTTGTTTTCAGTGGTGAAAATATATGATTGGCGCGCCAACACTTATTGCCGGTGTCAAATTGAAACAAGACAAAATCTAAGCTTTGAACTTGTATATCATCACAGAGAACAATAGAAACCCCGTGGGTCGTCATTTACACTGTACTAAGTATGTTAATTTTTACTCAATAAATTCGTGGTATGGTCGACAGGTGACTCAATTTAACTGCGAGTGATGTTTAGAGCAAATACCAATTTAACTTAGACTTATTGAACATAAACATTTTACCGTTTTTTCCAAAGACAAAGACAAATAAACAGCAAAGCTAAGTCAGAGTTGAATGTTTGATATGTAAATCGTTTCGAGGCAATCGCAAGAGCATAAGCTCACGCCCTGAAGCTCAACAGCTGTTTCGTAGAAGGTTCGCCAAAATAAGTTTTCGGGCATGCGATGGCGATCTTCTGGCGACGAGGAAGATTGCTTAAGTATGTATTATTACGGATTTTCCTTTACTTAAGACCTATGAACTTCGATCAAGCTGTTGTAAATGGCCATAGGTCGCGACAGTTGTTACCGACTGTCGCTCTCGCTTAATTTACAGCCGCACTGAGAAAAATACAGCTGTACACTCTATGTATTTTGTAAACGAAGTTTAAAGAGTCGGTTGCCCTGCGACGAAAAATTGGTACCGCGATGGCTGAAAGACAGGTGAAAAGCTATCTAAAAACGATTATTAGCTCAACTCACCCAATAACGTCTACGTGATTCCACACAACAGCCAGTTACATGAAACAGAGAAGGAAGAATTATTCAAAATATTTTGCTCGAAATGCATAGGAAGTGAAGCTACAAAACTTAACTAAAACAGAGCAATGAATTAAGTTTCGACGACCAGCCGAAAATTGTCTCGCTTGATTGCACGCAACTTTAAAAAATCAGTAGCAATATTATCGTGGAATAATAATAGTAAATATAGTGATACCAATAACATTAAAACCCAAGAATTAGGGAAGTAAAATATTGTGAACGATATTACTGTGGTAAGTGCTTACCGGGGGAAGAACAAGCCACCACACCGTGAGGTGGTCATTAACCCAGCGAAACCACCTCGGCCGTAAACACAGAAGAATTAAAGTCGGGCCCATGATAACGATGGTGCCGAATAAACCAGTGTAGTAAAGAAAAGCAAGGAAAATGAATCCCTTCAAACGCTGAACTGTTGCCATGGTCCCAATCCTGCTGGAGCCCGTTGAGATGTAAACCAATGCAGAGTTTCTATTCAATCGGCACCGGCAGCGTTACAAAAGCAACTGATTTCAATAACTTGATGCCTTTGAGTTTTGGTGAATAAAATTAAACGTGACATAATGCGCGATCTGCGTGCACGCAACTGCGCGGCGAATAAGCGTATTGCAACGGTTATGTTTGTTGCTTGATATCAACGAAACACGGTATCATTGCTAAAAATGACCTGCTGAAATTTCCATAACTTATGGAAAACCATCTAAGCTCTTAAAAGAAACATTTCTGATGATAACATAGTACTTTACCGGTCCAATGATTTTCTTTGAGGGTAAGCATTAAAAAAGACAATTAAGGAAAAAAGCACACAAAAAAAAAAGGCTAAAAGTCATTTTGACACTTTTGTGTACCTTACTTTTATGGTAATTCATGAAAAGTATGTTTCCATGTTGACATACGCAACCCAACCCAGGCTTCTCTCGTTTTTTGTGGCTACTGCCACCTACTGGAGGCGGAGCCACAAATGTCGTCGAGATGAGTGAGTAAGTGAGTGTAACAATAGAATTCTGATTTTAACCCAATTTGGCCCGATGTTTCCCGGTACCGGCTTATTGTTTTTTTTTTCGGAGTATCTTAGTATTTCGACATTCGCACTCGATACACAGTTGAGTTCTCTCCTTTTGTGATTTCTGGCTTAAAGCCACCAGTGCATTATGTTTTCAGTTCTTGCCGTGACACTGCGGAAGACAGAAGAGGACGACAACACCCCACAATCATTTCAGGATTGCACGCGACTAAAAAATAAACAAACGTTTTCCAAGCAGAAATATCTTAATAGGTGTGATCGGCACATCGTGAAACTTAGTGGAATTTTTTTTTTATTTTTCTATAAAGAGAGTGCATTTTACCGTTTAAATCAGTGAGTTATGTAGATCCGAAGATACAATCTTTTCAGTTCTTACCGTGACACCACAAAAGACGGTAAACATCTCAAATGAAATTTCACAGTGGCATCCACCGACGCATAATTTAAATCAAACCTTTTCCTCAGTGGCAGAAATAGCTCAACAGATGTGATCTATAAACCATTGACGCTTTCTTTAAAAAGAGAGCATTTTTTTGTTTGAATCACCGACTTATGCCGAAAAGAGCCGCCAATTAAGCTTCGAAATACGGTGTATCTTGAGATATCTGCAAGGAAACGAATGCCATGAGTAATTCAACAGAATGATGGAACGGAGGAACGGTGGGACGGTAGAACGCTGGAACGGTGGATCAGCGGAATAGTGGAATATCTTATGACACGGAATGCCTTTTTGTAAGAAACAAAAGTCTAAAATATTTATTTGCAATAAAATAAGAAATTATTTATAGTAAACAGGCGAAATTAAGAGAAGCATAGGTAATCATTGTTTGAACCTAAAGGATAAGGGAACAATTAGGCTTAAGAGCTGGCCACTTAAAATTATCATTATATTACTATAGATGTGATGATATACATTGTTATTATGCGTGAAAGGATAAAAAAAAACATGATAGAGACATACAGTTTGCTCGTACCTCTGCGGTTTCGGAGCACGTTAACGAAACGGAGCGTATTCCTATTTGAAGCAAGGTTAAGTTTATTGATCGTGACCCTCACTGGTACACACGTAGGGTTTAAAGAGGCTATCCATATAAGACTTCACCCCAACAACATCAATAAGGATAGTGGACTCGAAATTCTAGGAGCGAACTAGGAGGGAACACCATCTAACAACGGGAACAATAATGTGGATCGAAATGCACCAATAGCAATGAAACAACGTGCTGCAAATAGCGACGCGTAAACAATCGATCTCATCGCCTGATGAAGACTAGCAGTATTGCAGTCGAAACGTCGCGATCAACAAGTGACTCCATGGTGAGAAAAACGAATAAAGTTCATCTCCTATCTTACACTACGATGAACAATAACCACATATTTTATTACATTAGTTATTATTGTTACGTGAGACAAATATTCCGGAACAATACCTTCTAGCGTCATTATACAACCTTTAATTCTTTTCAATGCCATAAAATTTTTCTATATCAGTTGGCACATGCAGTATTCGACTCTATTTTTTCACTTCGCCACCATCGGGGTTCTCTCTCTTTGATTTTTTAACGCACCGAATATTCACTTAGTTTTGGTGCCAACTTTAGGCTGAGAATATACTTGTTGAAATGATTTCTTTAATTACAAAGAATTATTTTTAAATTGTTACCCAAATTGCGAGGAAACACATTTCAAGCAGCTCTCAGGAGTGTTTATTGATACCATTTGTTCTCTCACAACACTCCCCTATATCGAAAAACGTAGAATTGTTAGCTTTAAGAAGCATCTAGAGAAATATTTTGAGAGAGAAATATTTTGTCTGTTCCACCACATAGAGTTAGAACAAAAAACACAATTCCAAAAAAAGGTAAGCACCATCTCAACACTGACGACGCGGCCAGAAGAAGACAAACGCAACTACTTGAAAGCACCCAAAAAACTAACTCAAACTTGTAGAAAACTCTCACTGCTTCCTCCTCGTTGTTATCTACAATTACCGACTCAACAACGGGAGTAAAATGTTTTTCATCTTGGCTGTAAAATTTTGATAGTCTTTCTTCTTTTTCACTCCATCGTTTGCTGCACCAATGCTCGAGACCTTGCGAATCAACCGGCAGTTCATCGATGGAAAATCTCTGAATGTGAAAGTGAATTTCATCTGGTATCTTTCCTTTTATTATATCTAGTTCCTCGAAGCAATAATTTTCAGAATAACCCACTGTCACATCGTAAATAGCATCTATTTTATTCCCTTGTCGAAGTTTTTCTACGCAGTGAGTGAATCCACGCACGCGAGGATGCAAAACATAGTCGTAAAGTGGAAGGTCATTCTTCTTGGCATAATTATCACTCCAGGTTTTTGTTATCTCTTCGAAGTTAGTACCCTCGGGAAACATAAGAAGATGTAATTTATCTGGTGAACTCACAAAATATCTGAGTAACGAATTCAGGTAGCTCTCGTCCTTCTCCCAACGTCGATACAAGAAAATATAGAGCGCATTCTGCATGGCCCACCCTGAAAATAAGTAGAAACGTTTTAGATACGAGGGATCAAGGGAGCTACGTCACGACTTGTCCATGCACACTGAGAACAGAGAGACTATTGCCACCAACAAGCTGTTAGTAGCCTTTGCCGTCGAGTTTCATACCATCTGTTCAAACCTGGAATGATGCGAACACCAAAAGGTCTGAGATGTAACTCGCATCGAGCTCATCTATTGGTTTCCGGTGATCGTGATGTACTGGACTGTTGTATTTCTTTTCAGAATAACTACGAATAAAGGTATTATGTTTGTGTTCTGTTGATTTGCTAATAATGCAGACTTTATTTTCAACTAGAGAAGCCTTGAAATGTATCTTTGAAACTCACAGGAAACGATTGGAGCAAAAATCATCCTACACGACGGTACGTGACCAAACATTTGGCTCTAACAGTCGCGCGCGCTGCTTCTTGTCGTTTACTACGGAGAACAATAGCGATTTGACAGCGATAAGAGTCAAACTCACAATGTTACATAGCCCCTTTAATACTCAGTGTACTCCTCTTTCTCCCTCTTCCTATATTTACCCGCGTGCATCTCTCTTGCAAAAGAAAAACAAATTGGAACGAGTTACTGGCAAAGGCTTATAAGAGTTCTAATAATCACGACATTTATTTACTCACCTGGGCCAGGAATATATTTCAATTCTCTTTTCATCATGATCTTCTCATTTCTCAGCGCTAACTCGCCAGATCGCGCCATCACGCACCAAAAGAACATCCAATCCAAACGGCATCTGTGGTTCATGATGATTATGGAATTCTCGTACCTCGCTGGTTTTTCACCAGTCAAAATAATTTTCACGTCTAACATATACTCTGTATGTTGAGAAAGGAGACAATATTTCAGCTGATATTGTTTGTGGGTAAAGTCTATAGTCGAGACAAGTGGCCCATCCAGCCGGAGATTGTCCCGGTTTCCATCGCATGAAGCGACTAGGAGTGTGGGGGGAATATTTGGCCCGGTTTCCCAGAGACACTGTAGATTCGCAAGTTGAATCAACAAGGGATTTATTGTTGCGTAAAAACCCCCCAACCATGTCACGGCGATGCCCATTAAACTCGCGTCCGGACAACGACTTTTTGAATCACATGATTCGAAATTCCGGCGAGAAATCAGTATAATTAATAACTTAGTAACGAAACGAGAATAAAAGTCACAAATTTTTAAAAGCTGTTACGTGCAAGTCACGCAGTCACACAACGTTCTCCACAGGTCACAGTGTGGTTCTAACTCCCCCCTGGATAGGATGTTGGTGCATCTCAAGGTCATAATTACCCCCCAGCATTTCACTAGGCTTCTTTGGAAATTCCCCAGTCCCCTTTCATACTCCTGGGTGGAGAGAGACATTGTGACAGTAATGAATTTTGCCTAAGAGCACAACACAATCCCCTGGCCAGGTGTAGAACCCAGACCACTCGACCCGCAATAGCCATTGGGTCACCTCGTCTCCCACGATATCTTAATTAACCCCTTAACTCCCAGAAGTGATTAGCATGCAACTTCTCCCCACAATATCTAAACATCATCGAGCAAACAGGTCATGAGAATATTCAAACTTATCAGGTAGAAGTTGTTATCTTGATCTAGCACCAAATTCTTGTAACTTAATTACAAGGAAACGTCTCGCAGCTAAAGGGGAGAATTAGCAATCAGATCTTGGGAGTTAAAGGGTTAAGGTTGTATCGATTCACCGTGTTGTATACAATGAGATGCAGCATCATGTGCTTACTTCGCATACTGGAAGTGGCTACATCGTGACACAAAAGAGATCACCTTTTTTCCAGTATTTCAGCTTCCATATTACAAGTGGGAATTCGATGTGCAGAGTTGTCAGACATCCAAAGTTAAAGTTAAAAACAAATATAAAAGACAAACAACTTACCCAGCATTACCTTGGTAATTCAATGTGACATCCATCGAGATACATAAAAAAAATCAACAAAAAAAAAGAAATTTATGAAGTTAAAACTTTAAAAATATTTTACCCGCGACTGTGCGACCTTAAGCTCGAAGAATAGTCACTCCAGGCCTGTGTCACTCCCAAATTTGGCACGTATTACTCTAGCGTGATTTTAAACGAGACAACGAATTTTGCGACTGGAGTGAATGTTGTTTGGGCTTGAATATTAATGTAAGGTCGATACTAGCATCCCGGCAGGCCGGGCTGGCTCGGGCTAGCTCGGGCTGGCTCGGGCTAGCTCGATTGTCATATAATAACGAAGATGCCGGATTTTCGTTGCGTTCAGCAACAGCGTCATGATCACGGTAAAAACCGGGCCAGCTCGGCTAACTGGGCTTGCCCGGCTCATGTATTCAAGCTCTTAGTCTGTACTAAGATTGATCGTGAGACAAATATATCGTGACGACATGATTTCCGCCGAGCTTCGCAACCCACTGGGATTATAAACACACTGTAAGATTTTACGCCGTTAACTAACGGCATAAATTCTCCCAGTCGGTATAAATACATACTGAGAGATTTTACGCCGTTAGTTAACGGCCTAAAATCTTAAAGTATGTTTATATATCGACGCAGATAGTTAGTCACGTATTACGCCGTTATCTAGTTAATTCCTGCATCCCACTCGATCCTTCAGTTTCTATGCATATTAAAACACCAAAACCACACCAAACTGGGAAATCAAACCGCTTCTATGAAATGACACGTTTGAATTCTACAACAGTAACGTAAAGAGATGTCATAGAGGCTTACCACAGGCAAACCGAGCCAAACGGTGACTAAACTGTCGTTGATGAAACGAAACCATCTTGGTTTGAGCCACAATAGTATCAGTGTAGGACCCAAAAAAAGCGGTGTTAAGATCGTAGAAGTAACAGCAAGTATTAGAACAAACAGGAAGCCCTTGATTGATCGAATCGCTACCATTTCAGTAGCGTTCACTTCTATTTCAGGTATGACAAGTTTGTCCTTTGCTCCGATTTGACATCAATGCCGAATCGAGCACAACGCATAAATTTTGACTGATTATGCTAATCAGAACCTTGCCTTTACTCAACATTTGTCACGCAATCTACAGCATCGTCGAACTGCGTTAGCTTTTGGTTTCAATTTTCAGCAATCATCAAGTGTGACTTTTCACCAAAAAATTGACTGCGCCAGGGCTATCAAAGTACCCAGTGACTGCGTAAAATGATTGAGAAGAGATCCGCTTGGCTAAATTACATATGGCAATTTTTTTTCCCCTTTCACTTCCTAAGACATCGTTCATCTCTTTAGTTGGCTGTAATTCCCTACTCTCATTTCCAAAATGTAATCGGTTTCGGCTAAATAATATTTTCTGATATTCCTGAATTATCCCAGTAGCGGCAGAACTTTAAGACTACCGCGATCTAACCGCACAGCGGTGGTAGTATTAGTGTGAGTTACGAAAGCCCCGCTCTTTTGTAAAAACGATCTGCGATTGCTGTTAATCAAAATATCTACATACATTTTCAATTACCAGACAGAACCTCTCGTAACTTGTTCCTTAAGTTGCAAAATTCCTCGCTACGTCGCAATATAAAGATATCAAAACTTCTCTCTCAAACAAAGTGAGAAACGTTCGTATGAGCTCAACCATTTGAACTTCAAAACTTGTAACGTCATGTCAGCAAGGCAAGCTTCATAATTCGCAGTTGTCAGGCAAGCAGACGAACAACACTAGTAACAGTACTGTTACAGTAACAGATATCCCCGTGTACAATCCATTGCGAAACTGAAATCCATTCTTCTCAGGAAGAGAGAGAGTTTTGAATAGGAAAGAAAACCCACAAATCGTCTGAATCAAGTCCGAACAGACTGTGTGTGCCCTTTTGTTCGTTTTCTATGCACACCAAATAGAGCGCGAAACTTGAGACAATCTAACACTTGACATGTGCGTTTCTATGCGTGCCGAGTAGAGCACGAGTAGACTTGTGGTCAATCTAAATTTAACATGTGCGTTTCCTGAGCGCCGAATAGAGTGAAACAAATCATTCCTACTTGACATGTGAGTTTTCTGTGATAGCCGAACAGATTGCGAGACAATCTTACTAGACATGTGCCTTTTCTATGGGCGCCAAATAGAACACAAAACTTGAAGGCAATCATATTTGACATATGCGTTTCTGCACGTGCCGAATAGAGTGCGAGACGTCAGGTCAACCTAACTCGACATGTGCGTTTTCTGTGCGTGCCGTGAATCCAGAGTTAGACTTGAGGCAATTGTACTTAACATGTGCGTTTTCTGTGCGTACTGAATAGAGGGCGAGACTTGAGGAAATCGTACTTAATATGTGCGTTTTCTGTGCGTGCTGAATAGAGTATGAGAACTGAAGTCAGTCTTACTTGACATGTGTGTTTTCTGTGCGTGTTGAATAGAGTGTAAGTTTTTTGACAATCGTACTTGACATATGCGTTTTTCTGAGCGTGCTAAATAGAGTGCCAGACTTGGAGTCACTGTACCTAGCATATGAGTTTTATCTGAGGGTGCCGAAAAGAGCGCGAGACTTGAGGCAATCTTACCCAGCATATGCGTTTCCTGAGCGTGCCGAATAGCGTGCGAGACTTGAAGTCAATCTTACTTGACATGTACGTTTTCTGTGCGTGCTGAATAGAGTGTGAGATCAGCAGTTAGTTCTAATGACTGGAAAGTGTGGTGCCAGTTTTTCTTCAAACACCGAAACCAACTATTTTGCAAGAGCATCTCTAATAAGCCCAGATGTAGGGCAAACAAAGACTCTGAAGAAAGGGTTCTATGTTACTTGGAATACACTAATGCTGAAATTATTCTTGTTCCAAACCAAGCTTTCGTTTTTGTATCCAAACAAAAATCGCTCGAAATCCTCTGCACTATTCATCGTATGACCAAAGACGAGAGCCACTATCACTTTATTAAGTGTCATCAGTGACTACTTTTCGAAGTTTTGTTGATAGTTTCCTACCCAAAACCAAGTGAGCCAACAAAATTGATTCAGTGTTGCTTAATTTTTAACACTACGAGGGCGGTCCACCTAAATACTGACAAATTGACAACGGGACCGAATTTATGACAAGAATTTGTGCTCCAGTCCCTAGAGCTAAGGTAATACATGGAAGACCTTACCATCTAGAAAGTCATCCTTAACTTAAAAAAGCGAAAGAAAAAGAAGATTGGGCCAGTCTCTACCAGAAATCCCCAGATGAACTGCAGGCTACCCAGTCGTGCTTTGCATGGGTGGGTAAATATTTCTCGTCCTCTTAAGGAGAATAATTTGCAATAATTTAATTTAGAAAGGCGCATTTTTTTTACTTGTTTTCGAACCCAGCTTGATATGCGTGAAGAAAGCTATCAGTTTCACACAGAACTCGGATATGAGCAAAACAGATGGATAAATTCCCTTTTAAATCAACTGTGACTAAGGAAGATAACACCTAGGAACTTGAGGTGGTGCCAGAAAACGGCGAGAAACTTTACGCGTAGAATATAAGCTGACGAAGTCGTTTCCTCTTCCGCTCCATTTGCGCTAATCTAGTTTAGCAAATGAACGTCTTTCTAAAACTAACGCTCGCATAAATGTTTGCTTTAAACACAACAAAAGAGGGATATGTTTGCGCCACATCGAGAGAAATCGAACTTTCGGTTTGACCAATAATTTTCTCTCTACAGATATATTTTGTGGGCACTCGCCGAGGAAGCGATATTTTTCCTGTTCGTGGAACGGGAACGCTGTCACTATGATTCAGTTATGGATAAAGCGTTACTTGGGGACAGAGAGTTAAACATCGTTTACTTTGAAAAAATGGAATGCACTGCGTCCAAAATTGAAACATCTATCTGTGGCAGTTAAAAAAATTGAGAGGCAATTTCTAAGATCAAAGGAAATGAAGAGATTTGCGGAGACAACTCCTGGAACAATAAGATATGATGACGTCCCTTGCCTGGCAATGGTAATTCTGAAGATATGGTCGCGGTGATGCTTGTAAAAAAGCAAAAAATTGGTACTAAGATATTGTCAAGCGGCGCACACTCTTCTGGCATCCTGGTGAGTTCCATACTCGTATTGACAAAAAATGTAAAGAGAGGATTGCCCGCAATTAACTGACGGGATTCTCATTATATCTCAACAACTCAAGCCAGTTCTAGAAGAGGAACGACATGAATTTCTGTTGCGTTGAAAAGCCAGCAGAATCCCGATATCGTAGGGTATTAAAAAAAACGAAATCGTTGGCAGAGTTCTTTTAGGCTCCCAATTTATTTCTTTACTGGCTATCACACTCTTCACCTATTCAAACTTTTGTCAACTTTGGAGAATATTACTACATAAGCTTTTCCTAATATTTACATTGTCTCTCCCTTGAAAGCTTATTTCGATTACATTACAAAGCAATTTATTACAAAAATGAAATATAAAAATATTAAATAAAATTTTCATCGTAAGACCTTTTTGTTGGAAAAATTCCTGTCCAATCTCATGGCGACCCGACCAATTTTTGACGTGTGATTGTCGGTTAGTACAACGTGAATCGGTTGAGAGGATCTCAGTCATCGTGCATCTGTGAGACTGTCTTTTGAATGATGATTTGATCAGTTTGAGTTAGAAGCCGCATGGTAAGGCTAGAATCTAGTCTGAATCTCTCAGCTCGAAAGCGTGAACGGCTTTGGAGCCGCGCGAGGGCATGGGACAGAGGAAGGGGAAACACACCCGCGTTAATGATACTGTCCGCGAACTCTTAATTAGGATTGCCTTACAGGTTTCTTCTCATTAATGTCGGAGTTGGATTCGTTATTAGAAGCGCTGAGTGATGCGATCCGCGGAAGCAGAATAGTGATGTTTGTTACTCCGATCCATCGCTTGCAACCTATTACATCTAAATTGTTTGAGTTATAAGCTATCGGATAGCTTGAGAACTCTAGTTTCTGCCAGATCATAAGCCTTGGTGTCATAATCAGAATCGGAAAAAATTGAACCGTTCTGATTTTTCCGACTCAGATTCCGTCGAGCTTTTGAGTCCGCTTTCTATTTTCACCGGGTCGGAGGTAGCTCACTAGTACCGAGATCTTCCACGGCGAAGCGATTGAAAGGTCTAAGTTCAATTACAATCACATGAAAGGATCTTGGAACGAGATTAGGTCAGAAGCGCTCTGACGACTTCGTCTATAATTCCGACCCCGTCTCCGTTGTCAGTGGATCCAGCCTAACGGCTGTGGAGACATTAATCATACAATGAATACAACGAATGGTTTTTTCGGCTGAAGGTGGCACTGTGAGAGGAAAACACCTTCTCCAGGCACGAAAAATTATGACTCGACCAGCTGTCAAGCCCAGACCTTACTAGTCCACAGTCCCCCGCCCTTACAACCCGGCCATCCCCACCGCGTCTCCCAGTGAGTGATAATCATCGAGGTGTCTTTCCCAAGAACACAACATATACAACTTCTTTCCCAGGGTTTCCCGGCTAATCCCTTAAAATTGTGAAAGAGCACATATTTCAGATTTTTTATCTATCCGGGATGTTGTGATTGCCAGAGTCCTTTTAGTTCCGGTTTCATCACGGAGTTGCGTCTTTGGAGATTTTAAATCCGGAATTTAAAACAAGAACATTTTATCTGAATACATTACACACTTACAATCAGTTATAGTTTTAGAAAACGTTCAATTATTAGGCAAGAGTCTTAATTTGGGCAAAAACCAAACTCATGACACCGATGTCAGTTGAATTGGGGCGAAAATTGCTCATAAAGAGTGCATCAGCGAATTAAGTTAAAACTAACATAGATCTGATTTACCGCATTCCTATCCTTTGTAGGTGAATTTGTGTTATAACTCTGATGAACACCGAACTGGACATTGTACACGTTGGAGGAAAGTGAGACGCTATAGGAACTTTTAAACACTGTTTTGACAACGCAAGACACGAGGCATATTGGAGACAAAACAGCGCCTCGTTGGAGTAAATTTCTATTTATCTGCTGTTACCTTCAGCAAATGGCTTTTCTCAGGAGATAGGAGACTGGTTTCTTGTTTCAGTCAAGTTTTTATTGTGCGTTTGACCGGATCAAAAGCTTTCACCTTACGGGAGGTGAAATACAATGTGCACATGTAAGCTTGTTGTCGCGGTAGTCTGTGCACGGTATGAAAATGAAAGATCTAGGTCAAGTGTTAAAACGAGTTGGACGAGGGAGAGACGTGATGATGCTCGCCATATGAGCACTGGAATGCGGAAATTTCACTCAAAAAACGTTTACATGAAAAAATTTACCCCAGATCCTTCTAGAGAACTTAACCTCAACTGAATTTTTGTCAAGCGGACAGTGGGTGTCTCTTTCAACCTTTCTAATCGCGAGATATGCACCTTAGTTCCACATTACGAAAAAAATTGATAAACAACAACTGTAACATTTTTTTTTCGACTTTGTGCGCTAAAATAGTTGCCAGCTGCGGTAATAACCGTACGTGAAAAAAAGTTTTGAGGGACAATTTCGAGTAGTCGCTTACCTAAGAAGTTTGTTTGAGCGTCAGAGTTCATTCTTTCACCAGCTTTTCCAAGAATTGGTTGCGCAAGAATCTTGAATTAAAGTTGCTAGGTGCCTTCGGCCCAAACAATAAATATTATCCTTGTCATAGTTTCGCTTGGATGCATTTTCTATTGTAGCAACTAAAGTATCGTCGAAGCGCCATTGCTCTCCAAGTAGATTCACCGCTTTGTTGCCACATGGATTAGAACACTAACCTCGTTTATCATCTTTCATATCAATTTTTTGTTCTTAATTTCGAATTTTTCAATCAGTTTCAATTTCCTGCCCTTACTGTACGGATTTAACTGACAGGCTCTCCGCCAATAAAAATAAAGCATGTATGTATTTGCTGCCTCATCCAGCGTAAACAAATAAGGCATTGATGTTCGCCCCCCTTATTGTGTGTATTAAAGTAATTCGCGCCCACGAAAAAACACTTCAGCTTACATAAACAAAACGAACGAGACATGTAATAGTTAATGTAATGGATGTTGCAATTGATCGAATGCCATTTCAAACAGCTAAGGACATGTCCTTTGAAGGGAAACATGGTGCAGTGGTCAAGTTGAGCAACACTCGAGTGAATATCTCAATGACTTCTAACAATAATGCGAACAATTTTGTTTACTTTAATTTGATTAGGAAACTGATCGATTCCAATAATCATAAAATGTAAACAAAATCAGACAAAAGACGTCACTTGTTAGATTAGACACCGTCGATCAGAGCACAAAGTCTATAAGGAAATTAGTTCACAGTAAAAATTCCATTTCGCAACGAGAAAGGTTCGAACACTTCTATAGTGCGAAGCAAGCTTGAAAAAATTCAGGCAAAGCAGGAGGAACAAAAAACGTGAGTACAATCATTTTACAGCCTTATTTTAAATTGAATTCTTAGTGATTGTGCAAAAAATTTATATCTCGTTTTCATAGAAGAATTGTAGAGTAAGCAAATAGTTCCATAAACCATTGTTATGATTCCACCGCCGGCAGAGAGTATCAATTCAAACGTTTGAAAAAGTAAGAGATTGTTTCATACGCGTACTGAAAGAGAAGACGTAATCTAAAACGGCTTCTGATAACCTAATGATGGTACAAAGCGCGGTTGTTATACATTTGTGCTTCACCTATGGCGATTAGTTTCGAGTGGTCCCCATAATCGACCTCGTCAGTCTTAATCAAGTTCGCCAGAAAATGATGATGAAATTTCGAGCCCAATGAAAGAAAATTTCATTTCCAAACGATAGCGGGAAAGCACTCTCTAATACAGCGGAACTTTGATCTTTTAATGATAAGTCACACGGGGGTGTGACTCGGGTTTAATGACATTTCTCGTGAGTTCTTTAAATAGAAAAAAAACCATAGAGTTTGAGGGGTGAACCATAAGATACACGGGTGTTAAAAGGTGGGCGTTTGTTTGATTTTGGCATCACTGCACTTTCGAAAGCGATGTGAACGACGAATTGACAGTAAAAACGTACTTACTCACGAGGCGATTTCAGTAACAGCTTGAGGAAGTAAGTTTTTCCTTTCTCAAGGGAATAGGATTGTATCAACGTCAAAAAGCTTCCTGACTGACGGAACCTTGGGGCGATTACAAAAAACATAGTAAATTTCGAAAGCATAAGGGCGACAGAGAATTTCCAATTACTGTTAGCCTTGATATCAAACAGAATGAAGTCGAGTAGATTCCATTTCGCACCGACACTTTCATGTGATAATTATATCTTTAAGCTGGTATTTAACCACAGAGAACAAGTGTAACATTGTTTGAATAGGTAAAGTACGCGAGTCGATATTAAGCCGATGTTAATAACTAATTCTTTTGTTGTAGCGATGGGGTATGCTTAGAATCTTCATTTGATAAGTTTTTAAGATTCCTGTGAAAATCGATTTAACAGTGGAAAACAAGATATTACGTCAGCTAGTTGGAGTTAAAAATGATCAGAGCGGAAAGGAGCGTCTCCTTCTTCAATGCTATGGCGCACCTTGGTTTCGCTTGTTTCGGTAGCCCCCATTTTTCTTAATCCTTTACAGTTACGCCCACGGCCCAGAAGTTAAAAAAAAAATTAAATGCTAAAAAGTACCACATAAGGAGTAGCCCTCAAAAACTTGCAATACTTTTACCAACTGCATGCCTTATCTCTATTTTTTATAATATTGTGTCTCCGTATATGCAAACATTTCTCCACGAATTTCGCAGGTGGAATTGGGATAAGCCCGGCAAACCTTAGCAAAGCAGAACCACCAACAAAATGCGTTACCAAATCAATGAAACGTAATGGCAGAATAGGGATAGTCTGTTTAACGAAGTTTTTCACCTTGAGTAAAATGCTTAATTATATGTGGTTTTTACCGCCAAAGGACCTGAGGATTCTTTTCAAAAGACAAATGAGATCTCGGTCGCTTTACGCTGTGATCATTACGTGATAATGGAACAGGTAACCAGCGGATGTACAGAGCCTTAAACAAACACTGCTTGCAAGATTTCATTTGTCGCATTCAAGTGTGTTCATTAAGTCAATCTACGAAGGAATGATCATGATCTTTTTAATCCACCTTTTCATTTGAATATTTCAATTTGAGAACTTCACTAATGGTCTTAGAACGCCCAGTCTTTTAAAGGGCGGATAACGCTATCCAGCGGGTAAATCGCTATCCAGCCGGCAGGTGTCAGCACAACCTACTGTGCTTTCCACCTGATACCAACTAAGCGGGTATAGCTGTGCACCCTTCGAACATCCGCGACAAGGACTAAACAGTCCTCCTAGGCCGGGTAGAGAATTCTAAAGGGCTCCGTCGAAGAAGAGTTTGTCCTTCTGTGTTTTGTGAAGGAATTTTGTACAGTATATTGTAAATTCTCTACTGATGTTCACGCATTGATCAGTTTAGGCAAATATGTAAAGAGTTTTAAGGGAAAGTTGAAAGAAATTTCCGGTGGTCTAAATGATACAACTGAGCGCAATTTAATGATTTATAGTAAGCATCGCTGCAAGTTCAATGTGACGATGGAAATTTCAGATTCTTTCTCCTACGAAAAAAGAGAACTAAAAAAAATTGAATTCTAGCATAAGTTACTCCCAGTCAGGGAGTGCTCCACCTTCATTCTTCGGCACATTTTACTCAAAGAAAGGGCTTTTCTTGGCACGTGGTGAAGTGATCTTCTATAGAAACGAACAGAGATGATATTACACTGCCTCCACCGTCCCGAACAGCTATGCGTAAACAACTTGTGTCTTTACCTTGATTTTGATAGGAGTGGATATCCAAGAGACCTAGATCAGCGGACATATTCACAGTGAAGCATGAAGACTCTAATTTTTTTGGCGGTTTTTGCAATTGTCTTCCAGCTTGGTAAGGCTCAAGTCTTTTTTCGTATTTACAGATGGTAGAATAGATTCATAATAAACTTGAAAGATTTTTCATACTTCTTGAAGCGAAGCCGGATGAAATTCCAGTTCATTCTACAACTCAGTTCACCCTCACCAGTTCCTAACCCCAGTTCAACAAAACATCAATTCCTATCTGACGGGTCGCATACACTTCTTTGGAAAAGAAGTGTATCATAAATTCTATCCTCACTGCCATTTAAAAATCCTGTCGTGGCTCACTTCCTTAGTCCTTGTCCTTTTCCTTGCCATTGTGATTGCCATTTTTTCTTGCAATTTCCATTGGCATTACCATTGCTACTGTCATTGTCAGCGTCATAACCATTGTCATTGTCATTGCCATTGCCATTGCCATTGCTACTGTCATTGTCATCGTCATTGCTATTGTCACTGTCATTTCCATTATCATTGCCATTGCCATTGCCATTGCCATTGCCACTGTCATTGTCATTGTCATTGCCATTACCATTGCCATTGCCATTGCCACTGTCATTGTCATTGTCATTGCCATTACCATTGCCATTGCCATTGCCATTGCCATTGCCATTGCCACTGTCATTGTCATTGTCATTGTCATTGCCATTACCATTGCCATTGCCATTGCCATTGCCATTGCCATTGCCATTGCCATTGCCATTGCCATTGCCATTGCCATTGCCATTGCCATTGCCATTGCCATTGCCACTGTCATTGTCATTGTCATTGTCATTGCCATTACCATTGCCATTGCCATTGCCATTGCCATTGCCAGTGTCATTGTCATTGTCTATTTTCATGCATATTTTACTGTATTCTATCGCAGGCATAAGTCATATGTATGGCGAACCAAAAGGTAAAGTTACCTGCAACAACAATCATACGGTCGATATCAAAATCACTAACTTAGATGATCTTAACGGGTGGACGGCAGATGAATGGCAATTAAAGAGCAAGAACGAGTGCAAGCCAGTATTTGGTAACAGGACAGTAACCTACAGTGCCCTGAAACTGCCTGATTGTGCTTGGTCATCAGAACAACCGGCTAACGGCAGTATCAAATATGTCTTGAAAATCAATCCAACCAAGAAAAACTCCAGCACCGGGCAGCTTCGTGTCTATGACCACCTTTACTATGTATGGTGTTCGTATGTCAATCAAAACGTATCCACAGCCAGTTTTGTACCAATCAAGAACCGGGAAGACAACGATTCAAGTAAGTAAAAATGATAAAACGATTCGTCGGCCTTATCTTTGAAATCGCTAATGAACGCTATGTTTGACTCTATTTCAATTTAAGAAGGCTCTGAAGGGGTGATGTGAAAACTTGGACTATTTTTTAAGGGGAAAATATGGGACTTATGAATGTGGTTTTCTTGTCTCTCCTAGGCACTGCGTTTTTCAACTTTAATCTTCAAGCGTTCAACTATCCCAATCATACTGGAAGAGTTTCCATCGAAGTTCCGCTGAAAAAAAAGTTGTACTTCCGGGCTTCGGTTGAGACCTCAAGCCATGCACCCAATCTTGACCTTTTTCTTGTTAACTGTTATTCATCAAAGAACAGTGATCCGACTTCAACGGATGGGCGAGTTACTCTGATAGAAGAAGGGTAGGTGGTCTCATGTGGTGGCTAGAGAAAAATAATCCTCCTAAATCTAAGATATTCCGAGATACCTCAGATAGAGATACCCCAAGCTACTGAGGGCTGGGAAAATCCAGAGAAATTCATTGAGGGAGAAATGTTCAGCGTCGGCAGCATCCTTGTTCCCAAAAACCCATGGCGAAACGAAGATGACAAACTGCTAACTACATAAATTCCTGTGAATCACAAATAGGAGCGGATAGTGGTAATAAAATTTCCGGCGTTCTCTGTTTTGTTAATCATGGATGTCGTTTATAACTAACCAAGGTAACATCTTTAAATTTTACACAACGGATTCTTTATTCTACCACCCATGAAATGAAGCCATTGTCTGCAGGTCATTCAGCTTAAGAGCAGTGGGACTAGGGGCGATTTGGCAAAGTAACGAAGTGATCTCTCTGCCATGTCGATCGGATTTTACTAAAAGACTTTAAATGGCGCGATGTTGTTCAAGATTTAGATATTATTTTGACACTAGAGGTTAATGATTTGTATTGATCTCCTTTTTTCAAACAGTTGTGGCAACAAAGATACCAGTAAAGACCTCGAAGACACTTTGTCCTACTCTTGCGCAAATGACAGTACCAAAGAAAAGTTCTCCATTCAGGCCTTTAGGTACTATGGAGCTAAGGCAGGTGACGCAGTTTACTTCCACTGTGTTCTGAGGGTTTGTCTGGCAGACAAGACCCCTTCAGCGTGCGAGTGCCCTTCCAGCAGTCAGTGTCCTAGTTCCAGGAAAAAGAGGTCAACAGTGGATGAAACGAAAGTGTATCGCGTGTCTACCGGGCCTTTTATTTTGGAGAACGACGAGGAAGAGAAAGAAAGTAAGAGGCATTCATTTTTGTGATCGTTAATTGATTGGTTGTAAAGCTACATGTAGAATGCATTGAGATCCCTTTTAAGGGGCAAGGTCACGTCGATCCCAGATCCTACTTGAATTATGCTCTACCACTTGGGCTATCGAGGACTATTTGGCAAGTCAGTTTCTTTTTTCGTGGGTTTATATACGACGGGCGTCCAGAAAACTGTTAGGAGCAGCAATGTCGAAAGCATCCCAGTTGAAAACTTTTTCTTTTCAAGCTCGGTTGTTGAAAAGAAAAAGAACGAAAGAAAAAACAAACCGGAAGTTTTTATTAAGTAGAGGTTACTCTACAATTAGGTATGAAAACTGTTAGGAGCAGCAATGTCGAAAGCATCCCAAGTGAAAACTTTTTCTTTTCAAGCTTGGTTGTTGAAAAGAAAAAGAACGATAGAAAAAACAAACGGGAAGTTTTTATTTAGCAGAGGTTACTCTGCAATTTAGTGTTAAAATTCCAGAGCCACTGTTGTCTCAAAGGCCAATCAAGGCGAAGGAAAATATATGTTACAAGCCGATCAAACTGAGTCAAAGTAAAAACGAGCAAATTGAGGAAAAGGGAACAAAATGCAAGTGGACTTGTCGTAGTTGGTTCTAGTTTTGAATCCGAAAGACACGAGTCTTTTAAAGCAATCACAGAGCAAAGTCAGAAGCAAAACTAACACAATCCTGAATGACTTTCGACATTTAATTGCAAATTGCTCTAAAGTCGATTATTTGATTTCTCTTCTCAGCAGGATCAGGTGAAGAAAATGAGTCCAAGTCCCTCTCAAATGGTACAGTGATTACAGTAGCGATCAGCGGTGTTCTCGCCGTAGCAATTATCTGTCTCACGGCTTACCTGATACTGCGCAGCCGCAACAAGCGCAGCCAACGTGGCGACATCCACGTTGCTACATAAGCAGGCGAACTGTAGCAACTTGCCATTAGCAAAAAGCAGCATGTGTATCTTAAGTATAGATTAGTTGTTTCTTTCATACATTTTCAACTCAAATTCCATGCAGTTTGTCTTCGTGAATCTGAAATTGAGTCAAGATTTTAGAAATGGTCAATAAAGTGATCAGAGAAGAAGAAAACCATGTTAACTTCAGTCAGGCTAGAAACTTCAATTTTGCCGGCCAGACCTGTTTGGGACAAAAGATGAAAATTAGGGGAATTACAAGTGATTATGTAATTTTTTACTTTTTTTTCTTTTTTTATGCTAAATCGAGTTCTGAACAGAAACTGACGCGTCAGTTTTTGTTTTTGTACAAAAAACACAAAACTTTTGCACAAAACCTTTTTAGGATACCCACATGTTGTTACATCATAATATGCTGTTTTGTTATACCATCTTTTTATAATCGAAATAAAAACTAAATTTAAAAAAGTGGCAAATTTGTGTTTGTTCCTATTCATTGGAAAACGCTTGGTACAAGAGTACTGCACAATCAGAATGGAACTTGCTACTATTTAAGTTTGAGTAGCGATATTATGTCTCAAGGTCTGGTTCATAGCATCTTTTTCTTTTAATTCTAACAGGATCCGATCCGACGATAAAATTTTATAGAATATTCGTTTTTTAGTTTCATTTGAACTGTGTTGCTTTGATCAAATTTTCTATCCTTGAAAGAAAATTTTATTAACACGGAAGTAGTCGCATTATGTTTAGCAGTTTCCAGAAGTCGATTAGCAAGTTTTGTAAATGTAACGTGACACTTATTTGTAAAGGGAATGAGTCCTTTTCTACAACGGACGTCAAAGAGAGAGAATAAAACGTTCTGTGTGGAGGTTTTCCACACAATTTAAAGAGAGAGAATAAAACGCAAAAGAGAGATATTAAAAGGAAAAGGACGGGCAAAACGGGTTGGAAAAACCAAGGAAAGGTGAACTCAAGGGGGGGGATACTGGGTAAGACTGATGTACATCGTTGCAATTCTTAGAGATTAATCTCTTTTACCGGAATATCTTCGACCACGACCATTTAATCTTCTCACTGTCGCTCGAGACATGCACGTTATCCTATCCTGAGGACGTAAAATAAGTTCACCTCTCCATTTTGTCTCTAGTAAAACGCTCCTCCAAGTATTTGAAGGGACGTTAATAGAGAAGAGGAAGGATAAACTATCACAACCTTCCCCCTCTTCACCCTCCCCCCCCCCTCCAGTGAAGGGGCGTTAATGGAGAGGGGAATGATAAACCGTCACAACCTTCCCCTCTTTCCCCCCTCTCTCCACCTTCCCCAACCCCTCCCCCTCCCCCTAAATACAAAATCAGAGGTAACTGAATTTTACTATATACTCGCAAACTAGAAGAATTGAAGTAAGTTTAGATGAACGGATTCCTTCATAGCTTGAACCAAGTCGTGATTGACCGTTTTGATTTGCAGTAAATGAATGAAGTCAATTACCATATCTAAAAACTGACGTAAAGTGTCGTCAGAGTCATAAGCGAAACACATGTCTTTAGCGTATAAACACATGTCCGCCATTTTCTAGCTGTGTAGCCGAACCTTCACGTGATAAGCGCGGTTACGCTCCCAGAATTTCCTTATCTTTTTCCTTTCATCATGGCTTCCGAACGAAGTGACGAAGCGGTCTGTGAACAAAACGGGCAACAAAGTAATAGCCAGGTTCAAAATGGAACGGCGGGGAACAACGACCAACAAAACAATCAGCCTCAACAGCAACAGCAGCAACCACAACAAGAACAAGGTTCTATGTGGAAGAGTCTTCTAATTCGAATGTTCATCTTTTGGCTCATTTCAAATTTGTTTCGTGGTCGACAGCAACAGGGCACAAACACGAACGTGATCGCCTCTACAAACCTGTTTAAAACGGATCAGAAAATGGTGAGTTAATCTTGTCCAATAACTGTCAACTTAGATTGATCAATGGTAATCAAAAGCTGTTTTTTTCAAACAAATTTGACGAGATTTCTAGAGGAGTCGATGTCGCTCGCGTGCATGCATGAAGCCGGTTGGCACATGATCGGGCATAAATTTTTTTTGTGTGTAAGAATTAAGTGATGTACCTTTTCTTTCAGTATTTCCGGGCGGAGATCTTAGAAAAATTAAAATTATATTCCCATTAATTTAGAATTGTTTGATTACGATTCAAAGTTTCATCCGGTGAGGACTGCCTTGATATGTACAAGTGAGGTTCGATTCCTAAGAGGGTGGTTTTAACGAGTGTGGTATCTTCGGGAGTGTTTCTAAATTTTCAACTTAGGCCTTAAATGTAGTTATTTCTATTTTTTAGAACGTTTCAAACGAAGTTAGAAAAAGTTTGAAGACCTTAAAAATAACAAATTTAAAATAATTAATCTAATTTCAATCAGCGTTTTTCGTTTACAAAATTAACAATGACTTAAAGAGTGACCAGCTTCTAATTTCTCCTTACAGTAATACTGCAGAATCATTCATTGAGATCATGAGAATAAAGGAAATGATCGCTGAAGAGATATGCTTTGGTTGTTAAACAAATTCTCCTTGTGGGTTTCAAAGGAAATTTATAGATTGGAGTATGAAGAATATTAATGCTGATGTTAGGGCATAAAGTGGTCTTTTTGTTACTGGTTTTTAATCCCTGTGTTATTATTGATACCTAATTTTTTAATGTTTCAATCTTTGCAGGAACTGTGGGTTTATTTGGCAGAAGAGCAACATTTTACTGATTTCAACAACAGTGAGAAACTTGTTTGGCATGAAAGAGGTCTTAAGTTTGGGAATTGGACAGATGGACCTCAAATGGATGGTTCTCGTCTGTTCAGCACCAATATCCAAGCATCAGAGGTATAAAACCCACTAGGCCAGGACACCCTAAGTGCGCCCTCTGCCACTTTTCCCCTACCTTGATGCATTTTGTCTCATTAAGTGTAACAAGTTCAACTTGGCTGTCACTAGTGTTTCCCAAAATGATTTGACTTGTTTCCTTACAAAAGAATGAATTTCTCTACTTATTTTGAAATTTAAAACTTGTGAGCACTGCGAAGAGTATTTTCCTGTGACAATATGAATAGTAGCTTTGGAGATAAACTTATCAACACAGGGGTAACTTGTTATATCAAATGAGACAAACTTGTAATGATGGGGTAGATTTTACATTGTGGCAAATCCTCCTTTGTCTTTGGGACGATCAATTTGTGTGCTCTGTTATCAAAACAAGTTGCTGCAAATCAGTCTATCCCTTTGAACATTCCACAAATACAAGCTACAATCAGCATCAAAATAAGTTAACACAATATGTTTAATCAGTTCTTTGTTTTATGAGGAGAGTAACACTACTGTTTGCTTTATACTCTAAACTAATGACAAGATCCCCCCTCCCATTTCCCATTCCATGTTGCCTGTTGGTAGCTAAAAGATCATGGAACCATGATACCACATTGTTTTTTGGGGAAATTGGGGTGAATAGGTAAACTTGGCAAGGACAAAAGAACAAAAAAAGATGCACTGACTGTAGTCTGAACCGATGCATTGTATAACTGGACCAAAAGTCTGTTGCAGGAAAGAGTTTCACTGAAAAAAAATCTACATGTCACATCAAGCAAATTTTCACTACAACTTGGTACCTGATTTGTGTTTAGGTGCATGGTACAGTGAAGTCACTTGACTATTTTTTTTTTTTTTTTTTTTTGGGGGGGGGATGAGATACATTGCTCTTTCAACCTTTTAACCCCCTATGGTGACTAGCATCTGAATTCTCCTTACAATATCACTCCTGAATCAAACATCTAGGTCATGAGAATAAAGGAAATGATCACTAACCATAGAAGGTCTTGATTGTGAAACAAATTCTCCTTTTCAGCACCTAAGGAAATACATAGAGAACAGTTTGGAGAATATGCATACTGATGTTAGGGTATGAAGAGTCAATGGGTGCAGTAATTGAACTTTTGTAATTCTTTCAACAGAGGATGCAGAACAATGGATCTCTTTACATTCATGTTTATGTAACAAAGACTGGCAGGTCACCTGACCCTATGCATCCAAAATTCAACAAGCTCGCTGTTGTAAATAGAAGTTTGTGTAAGTATTAATGACTCTAAGAAAAAAATCACTGCAGAAGGCAGATTCTGGAATTTTGATTTCAGGAGGATCCAGACTTAAATCCAGAAAACACCAAATTTTGTTTTGTTATTATACTAGAACCTAGACAAGCAAACTAAGGAATATTTAAAGTTAAATAAATTTAAATACAAATTAGCCTGTAAAAAAGTAAACACGTTGATTGGGGGAGGTTTGCCTCAACCCTTGCCCCCCCAGATCTGAATCCATCATTGCATGGGTATCAGAAGTGTCTTGTGTCAGGGGTCTTGTTCATATTGAAATACAACTTAAGAGGCAGACTTAACTTTAAATGGAAGCCTGAGTTATAAAGCAATTGGCTTTTAACAATACATTGGCTGTCGCAAACTGTAACTGTTTTTGATAGTATCAGTGCTACATCACACTCTTCCCTTGCCAACCAATGGCCTCATTGCTTTGCATGCATGAAGGTGTGTAACACAGCATTCAGAGCCACTAAATTTCCCACAATTTTCTCATGGAATATGCACTCAGTTCCCTTTCCCTCCTGAGCCTTTGTTCTTAGCATTGTAAGCCCCTAACTTGCTGGACCTAACCACATTCTCCTTACATGACTGTGAACTCTCATTTTTTTCTTCTATTTCAGTATTGACTGTTTATAGAAAAAAGCGAGTTCATAAGACAGTAAACTTGTTAACTGGCGTGGCTGATGCTAATCCTGACATTGTGGTAAGCTGAGTATGTTTTAGCCAAAACATGGTTGTCATTAGAAGTTGGTAGGAGGCAGAAACCCACTGATTGTACAACTATTTTGTGAATTCTGATCAGAGACAGACAGAAATGTATCTTTGAACTGATTCTAATATCAATGTCTGGTTACCCAGGTTACTCAAAAATTTCTCAGAATGTTGGAAATCATGTCTGAGAGAGTTTCAAATTTCTAATTTTTTGTGGGGTAACATTCCCCCAAACCCCTTTATGCTCCCTGCTCAGTTCAATTCATATTTTACCACAATTGGCAGTAATGTTGTAATCTGATTGGCCAATTTGTCATCATCAATAAGAGTACAGACAAAGCTGCTTGCATTAACATGTCACACAATGGTCAGGCCATGGAAGAATTGTTTTATTTAATGTCAATATTGTGGTAAAAAAACAAATTGACAGTGGTTTAGCATGGTCTTTATTCTTATCAATGGCAATATTGGTCAGCACAGTGGTCAAAATTTGTTGCCGACTCACTCAGCTGTGCCCTGTGAGTCCACAACGTTTCAACCACAGAGGTGACAAATATCTTTGTCAATAAGAGTACAGACCTTGCTAAACCACTGTTGATTTGTTAAATATATTACATTTTC